TAACATGGGCTCTTTTGGGCTCGTTGAAGACCAGTCGTACCGCTGCATTCTGAATCATTTGTAGAGGTTTGATTGTGAACTGAATTTCCCACACAGTCATAGAAACAGAAGCTTGTGAGCAGCTTGAAATCCAGGCTGCTGTGTTGCATTCAGAGCTACAGCAGAGGATGGTGGCGCCTTTGTTGTGCTCTTTTAAGAGCAGATGCTTTGTTATAGGCCAGGGGTAGGCAAGTTCGGTCCTAGAGAGCTGCAGTCCTGCAGAGTTCAGCTCCAGCCCTAACCAAACACACCTGAACAAGCTAATCAAATGTCTTCAGGATTACTAAGGCTATAGGCAGGTGAGTTTTGTTTTCAGGGTTGGAGCTGAACTCTGCAGGACTGCGGCTCTCTAGGACCGAACTTGCCTACCCCTGTTATAGGCTGACGTGTTATTCTGGGATATGAAGAGGTGTGCAGCTCGTGGAAGGTTTTGCTTGATGTTTTAACAGTGTTTTATGGCAGGAAACAGGAAGCTGTGTACTTTGTCCCTGCAGGTCTCTTTTCACACTGTATTTTTTGGCACCACAGCACATTTTCATCATAAACATAGCTACAGCTGTACACTGTAGTAGGGTAATGACTCAGGAGGAGAAGTCATCATGGAAGGCATTGTGCACTTCATTTTTTTCCTTTGCTTTACTGGTTCCATTGCTAATACTGTAACTGAATGACATTCGGTTCTGTTTTATTTACATGAATGTTTCTTGCACAATGTTTCTTCAATACAAAAATACTCTGGCAGTATATTGTAAACTACAACATCACAATTAAATCTACTATGCAAAAACATATGTAATATGTCCAGTATAGTTCAATTCCCAAATGATTGATTCTTGTGAACTGGTTCTTTTTAGTGATTCAAAAGCGTAGTGTGACAAGTATATTCCAATTACAGAAAAGGGTAGGTTACTTTAATGAGTTCAGTCTTATTAGTGCATCAGAAACATGCAGTATCACCGGTGTATTTTGATTCCTGAGCAGTTGACTCTTACGAGCGAGTAATTCTCTTTAGTGAATCAAAATAGTTTGACCAGTGTAGTCCAATTTCTGAACAAGCGACTCTTATGAGTTGGTTCTTTTGAGTAAATCAAAAACATAGAAAGTGACCAGTATACATTTGACAGTTCTGCACAAGAATTGGCTCTTTTTAGTAAATCAAAAACCTAGTGTTTGACCAGTGTAGTCCAATTACTGAACAAGCAGCTCTCATGAGTTGGTTCTTTTTTTGTAAATCAAAAACATCGAGTGTGATGTGTAGTTTTGATTCCTGAACAAGTGACTCTTATGATTTGGTTCTTTTTAGTGAATCAAACTCACACAGCCGTGTTGCTTGATTTATGAACAAATGACTCTTATGAGCAACAAACAACTGAAGTGATTAATGATCAAATGTACTTTTGCTTTTCAAATTCTATAGTGAGAAAACTTATTTTAACCCAGCATTCTGCTGTGTATGGTATCGAAGATGTTGGGAGAAGCTTCTCTCTCTAATACACACACACTTTTTTGTCATTTCATTTTGTGTGTGTGTGTGCATACCGGTAGATGCTTGTTTTTAATTGTGTGTAACCCAATCAGGCCAAGCCAGGTCCAGTGATGATGTATTCAAGCGTGTCTTCATCACAAGGACAAATGAGTGCACAGGCTGCAGTCGAGACGGCCATTACCACTTCCTGTTTATTACTCTCCTTCTCACTCTGTTCTCTCTCTCCTTCATTACTCAGAGCGGACAGATGCCATTACCCATCCTACATAACGAGGTCCATAATGAAGCACCAGGACCGTTTTTGTCACGCACAAATACTATCACACTCAAAAGGGTTGATTAAAGACCTGATGTGCTGCAGTGATCGCTCGCCGACCCTCTTTTAGTGCACTGACATTGTGAAAGAGCAATTCAAAGTTTCCTTTCACAGACCTGATCGGGACTTCAGAGCATCACGTCATTCTCCTTTGCTATCAGACGACAGCTCAACGAGAGATATTTGAAAAGATACACATGATTAAAGAAAGAAAATTGATACAATTTGAAGCAAAAGCATGCTTGATTACTGTAGAGTCCATCATCATCATGGTGGAGTGTCATGGAGTGTGTTGTGTGTGTTGCGGCACTCCAGGTGTGACCCAAATGGGGATCAAATTATGGCACTACAGAGAGAGAGTGCATTAAAGCATGCACAGCGTGTAGGTGCGCTCTCACTGGAGATTAAATTAAGATACTGAGAGTAAGAGTGCATTATGTTTCACCACCCTCACGGAGTACATTGTGTGTATGTGGGCATGAACGTTGGAAACCTCTCCTTCTGATTTGCACTGTATGGGTGAAAGAGAATAGTCATTTCTGAAATGTCATCCAGATTAAAGGCTAGGGGACTGATATGCAGAGGTTTTAAAATGTCTGTGGTGCAGTTTGTCCTGTGTCCTCTGTACCTTGGTAAAAGTGTACTCTACCTTGTCCTCTCATATTTATCACCAACTCTCAGAAAAAAAAAATATGAATGCTTCAGCTCCTTATGATAAAGGTGGATCCCTGCAAGCTAAGGGCAAAGAGATTTAGAGTATGAGATGGAGGTCTGTGTATATTTAACTGTGAGAATGGTGCAGTTTAGTAGGTGTACTTAAAAGGTAAATATGTATTTTTTTCCCCATTATTTTACTATCACATGGCTGGATGTCGATCCAGATTTCCCAATTCAATTTGATTCATAAATCAAAATTGCTCCCAAATGAACAGCTAAGTAAGCAGATCATAAATATGAAAGCCCATTTCAGCCAAAAAAATGCTTTGATAAAATAAATTGAAAAGTCAAATAAAATTATAATGTAAAATGTCATAATTATGACATACTAAGTCATACTAATTATGCGATAAAAAAATGGAATTAATATAAAAACATCTGCCAGAGACAAAAACATAACTGACATAAGTTGAAATTATAAGATAAAAAGTTATGATAAAATTAAAAATGCTGGCAAAAAATGTGACATCATAATTATGAAATAAAAAGTTGAAATTTTGAGACGCTAAGTCATAATTGTAGGATAAAAATTCATTAAAACATTTTGACTTAATTGACATTTTGTCGTAATTATGGCTTTTTATGTGGTAATTATAACTTATAATGTGCTTAATTTCAACTTTTTATCATAATTATGATTTACCAAAGCACTTAAAGCACAAAACTCTTACCAAAAGGTCGCCGTGATTTTGCCAAGTAAGACATGTTCCTGGATCAAAATCTTTTGTTGATCCTGGATCAACATTACTGTCCAAAAATACAGATTTAACCCAATCCCCACCCCTAAACCTAACCTTACCCATAATTTATTCCTAAAATCAGAGGGAAATGATAGCTGATTAACAAGGGTGTATAATCACCTAATCCTGATTGTAAGCCTAAAACTGACATCTCCTGAAAAGTTATCTCTCAATTCTGATTGGTTCATTGGAATGATGTTCCAGGATCAACAAGGATGTTGATCCAGGAACATGTTGTACTTGGTCAAATCACGCTCACCCTTACCAAAATGGGCTAAGAGTTACAGGATTTGTTTGTTTTTGCATGTAACTTGTGAGGACAACTCAATAGAAAACCTTTTTTTTTTTTTTATGATTTCATGCATATTTTATTGCATCACATTCAATACAAACCCTAAAGCCATATTTGGCTAGACTGCACAATTGTAATGCATTTGCATACTTACATCAAGTATTTTTCTGGCCGTAATGCATGTGAACTGGGAGCATTGTGTTAGATTAGCTCCAAAGTAACTAGTCCAGAGCCCGGCATTCTGCATTAACTATAACATCGCTTCATTTACTTGTTAAAAGCGGCTTTAATGATTAATCGCATTTGCACTTCAGATACGCTTACAGGACAATGCCGTGAATCGAAAGTGAATTCCCTCTAGAAACTAAGTGGCGAGATTTCTGTGAGGAGAGGGGGAGTGAGCAAGTTGTGCTCACAAATGAATGCAGACTCTAATTGGACCGTCAGTTTCTGGCTCAGAAGAGCAACAGGATGTATAATCTGCTTAGGCTGGTGGAGAGCTGGGCCGACAGCGCTGTGTTAATTGTTTAGCGTGTTTGAGATTGAGGTAGAGGAAGCTTTGGGTCTCCTGGCACTCTAATGAAGCTGAGGAAATAAAGGACCCCAACAACAGAGTGGAATTGCATAATCTGCCTTAGTATGGAAAGGGACAAAGATAGCACAGGCACCACACAAATTCAAACATTTTGTGATACAAATACGTAAATGGCTTTTTCTGATGCCATAAAAAATGCCATAAAAAACACAGATGTACAGATAAAAACTACTAAAAAATACCCCTGCTAAAAATATTAAAACCTAAAAAAAGAACAAAAAAATCTAGATAGCAAAACATCTCGATCCTTATTTTATTTCTTTCTTTATTTGTTTTTTTTTAATTGACAACAACCTTTTTGTTTTCTTGTTTCACACTCCATTTATTTATTTTTAGTGTTTAATAATTATTATGACATTTGCATGTTCAGATTCATGCACCAGATATTGCATTGTCTCATTACTTCATGTACTTCATCTGAATTGTTTTTTTCCCCTCTCTGCAGTTGTGATTCAGAAAACCGTTACCTTGGCAACCCTCTCCGAGGAACCTGTTACTGTGAGTATTCTCTATTTGAGCTCTGACCTTAACGTAATCCTGTTGTACCTTGAAAATTCATCTGACTCTGCAGACACTTTCAAACTCAGAGGCTGTCTTCCATTTAATGAAATTAGACTCAGGGGGCTTAAGATGCTGGGAAACCTGGACGAAATTGCCATGGGATGATGCACAACCACACAACAAGATAAAAGCGGTGGATGAGACATTCTGATTTGGCAGAAATCAAAAAGTACAGATAGATCTCTTGAGCATCTCAGAAGATCTGCAGCAAACCATGTTGAAGTCTGATTGTGTGTGCAGGGCTCAAATGCACAGCACTAGGGGGCAGTCTTGTTGTATATCAGAAACTGCGTATTCTCTGAGTATACATCTGTGTTCCTCTTTCACTTTTTTTGCAATTACTATCAGCAGTCATCATGGAGTCTGAAAAGGCTAAATGCAGTCAGTAGCATTTAGGACATCAAATTTCACTCCGTTTGCAAATCCCACCAGCATTATCCCCGTTGTCATCAATCAGGATTAAATAAAGCCTTCAATTTATCAATCAATTTCCATACACTCCTCTCCCTCTACGTCTGTTAGGTGAAGCGCATGTGCTCGCAGGCTTCTGGCTCAATTGCTATTTAGAAGAAAAGTGTATCACCCGCCCGTATTTTCTCAAATAGTGTCCTGTAGGGGGAAGTGTTGCTGGAGAGTGGGCCATAGGCGACGATATAAGACTGGTGAGAGTGTCAAGCCCAGTCAGAGTGAGTAAGCGAATGATTCGAACTAATTAAAGACACAAGAGCAGAAGTTTGGTGGACGTGGATCCAGTAGGAAGTGTGAGCTTTCTCACACAAGCAAGGTTTGACTTGTGCATTTCCGGAAGCAGCACTAGCACAAGCGCGCTCAGTGTGTTCTGTCAGTGTTACTTGACTCACCATCAAAGGAGAGTGATCCTGTAAAAACGGACTTCTGACCCAGTAAGACCTATTGTTCATGTTTAATTTTCTCAGATTGGTTTACACTCGCACCCTGCCTGCTGACCAGCCCTCCATGTATTCGCAGTGGGCAGCGTCTTTAATGACCTGAATGGAGTTCATTGCTATGGTTTCTGTTGTGTTTTAATGTTGAAATGGAAATTTTATGTTTCCATTTTGGCATTACAGTATTCTAGCTTAGTTAATTCAGTAGATTCAGATTAATGTATCTACTCTAGGACACTTAACCCTCAATCGGCCCCTGGGGTCAATATGACCCCAATTGATTTTTTCATAAAAAATTTATATTTCACATGCAAGCTAATGGTGTAGTTGAGGAATTTTGTGTTAAATGGGTACAAAAGTACTTCATATCTCCCAAAACACAGCATTAATGTATAGATGAGAAGTAAACAAAAAAAAAGATATATTATTTGTATGATTAAAAATGTATATATTTTTCACAATTACTCTTTCAATGTTTGGGGTCATACTGACCCCAAGGGACTTAAGTGTAAACAGGAAATGAGGGACATTTGAGGGTTAATTCAATGCACAAGAAAAAAGTTACTCATTCTTGCTGTCAGAAGCGACCACAAGCCATTTTTCAAAACACAACTTTTAAGAGACCCTAGACTTAGTTTTAGGAGAAATAAAACACTTAAAAAAAAAAGTCTATATACACTACCATTCAATGGTTTGAGGCCATATTTAAAAAAAAAAGAAATTAGTATTATTCAGCAAGGATGCATTCAATTGATCAAAAATGATGTAAAAATATTCTTAATATTTGTAAAAGAACCCTGAAAAATATATAATAAATATATATATAATAAATTATAAGAAATGTTTAATGAGCATTATATCAGATTTTAACATTTTGCATTACATTTACATTTTAATTGTTACAGTATTTTTGTTTTTAATGTATTTTTGATCAAATAAATGCAGCTTTGGTAAGGATAAGTAACTTCTTTCACCAAAAAATTAAACTTCTGTCATCATTTAGCTACCCTTACTTTTTTCTGTTGAATATAAAAGGATATTTTGAGAAGATAATCAGTGGTAACCAAAACTGTTTGTGGTTACCAACATTCTTCAAATGATCTTTTAATTGTTTAATTTCTACAGAAGAAAGTCAGTCATACAGGTTTGGAACAACATGAGGGTAAGTAAATGATGACAGAAGTTTCATTTTTGCTCAGACTATCCCTGTAGAAGTGTGTTTGAGAGAATAAATTCCAGATTGTAGCAACAATCATACAGAATAATGATCACGTAATTGGTGCACATAGTCTATGATTAGTTGTGTATGGTCTTACACAAAAGTTGAGAGCATAAAACTTTTTGAAGCATGCAGGATGACAAGCTTCTGTCTTGGACTTAAATGTTATGTTCCAAGTTTTTTATATTCCTGTTTAATAACTTACAACTTTATGGCTGACATTCCTCTCAGAACAGCTGTCTGACTTATGAAACTCACTGACATTCACTTTAGAATCACCATTCTGTTTCATTGAAAAAATCCAGCATATATCACCTTAATGCTTCAAGAGCAAGCTGGGGGACGGTTTTGTCACCTATAGATAGTTGCATCTGAAACTAATTTTAAGAAGTGACAGCGTTCCTTCTGGAAGGCTGATTTAATGGAAAGAAGGACTGATGCTCATAGTAGTTGATTTGCAGATCAGCACTACTCAGTGTCTGAAAGTTACATGATCTTTCAAGCAAAAATACAGGAAATGTGTGAAACTATGTTGCTTCCATGTCACATCTGAATTGATTAAAACCTTATAAAGGCATCTTTCGAGTTGATGGGGAGTGAAAGAGATGTTTACAATGCCATATTGTGATTCACACAAACAGCTGTTCTCTGAGAGATGCCTGTGGCAGCATTCAGTCATTTAACAGCCCAGGAGTTAAGAAAACATTTCTTTGTCTTTGAAACAATGCTTTAAGAGACCTTGAGGAAGAAAAAACTTACTGTACCTTAGGATCTTCCTGGTCGAAAATTGGGAATTTATTGTTTAGTCTTCAACTTTTAAACCTTTAGGCCTAGTTCTGGTAAAGGATAACACGTTCTTTTATGTAACTAAGAAGCGTAGATTTCAAATACTTGTAGACGTCTTAAAAACAATTGAGCTTAATCAGAGTGCATGCTTATTAAAGCAATGACACACTTAGAAAGGAAGTATTAATTTAGTGCAATTAAAGTGACTGATGATTCATGTAGCCCTTCAAAGTAGCCCTCTTATTGTAAGAGTGAATGTGCGCCGCTCTTTCGTGATGTTCTTTAAATGGAAACTTTCAACCATTAACATGCCAGAGAATTGCATGGTGTGGTTCATGATGATGTAAAATGTGGTGATTAACAATAGGGTTTTGATCTGAACAGATAACTTGCTGATTGATTACCAGTTCACCTTCAGTCTGCTTCAAGAAGATGACCAGCACTACACTGCCATTAACTTCATGGCCACTCCTGAACAGGTCAGTCGCAGTCTACTTATCTGAGAACAGAAGCAACTGAATGGTTTGACCAGATTGTGATTATCATAGAGAAGTCTTCTGATTGTCAGTTAGATTATATACATTTCATAAATGGCATAGTTCATTCTAAAAATGAAAATTTTGTCATTATTTTCTTTCAAAAACCATATAAAAGCCATACTGAAACTTTCTTTTCTCTCTCCACTTTATAGACCAGTAAGAACTTGGACATGTCCATCAATGCATCAAACAATTTCAATCTGAACATCACTTGGTCAGTTGGGTCAACAGGTACTGACTACTCTTTTCCTCTGTTGAATATTTAGCCTTGTTTTGTTGTATAAAAGTTATTGCTTTTGTACAGTAGTAGTAAACTAATATGTTTGCTGAGCAAATCTTCTTCCTTTTTTGCATTCATACATTCAACAGCTGGTTGCCACACACTCAAAAAACAGGAGACACATTTCAATATGCAACTTTTAAGAGGTTTTACAGTCTAATAGATGTCAGCATATTTAAAGCGCCACTGTTAAAAATATTATAATTATTTTTTTAAAATATTCTAATACTTTTATTCTGCTAGAATGCATTAAATTGATCAAATAACAGTAAAGGCATTTTTATCATTCTGAACAAATTCTATTTCAAATAATTGCTGTTCTCTTGAACTTAATATTCATCAGAGAATTCAGAAAAAAATAGATGCTGCTAAAAATTCAGGTTGACCATCACAGCAGAAAAAGCATTTTAATATAACAAAATAAAACTGTTAAAATTGTAATGATATCTGACAGTATTACTATTTTTACCTGATTTTCTTGATCAAAAAAAAATCTTACTAACCCTAAAGTTTTGAATGCTGGTGTAAACAAGTCAGCCTTACTAATCAGTTAGGTGTGCCTAGTTGACCGTCGCATGCATTCTCATGTTAGCATAATATCATAATGGGTCTGACACAGAGATGCTAATGCATTGCTTGTTTGACCGCAGTGTGTTCCTGGGTGTGTTGGGTATTTTACAATAGACAGACACTCAAGGACGTCACCATTATCCTCTATTGTTTATTTCTGTAATCACCTTTTCGTCCAAATAGTCACCAGCCAATTTTTTTTAATGTGACTTTGACATTCACGCTCCTCTTTAACAGGTTCACTCCTCTCCTTCTCGACCTCCCAGCTCCCCTCAATTAATATTTGGAGTGGTGTCTTTCTGTTTGAAGACACTCTCCCCTGAGAAGGGCTTCTAACAATAGTCTAGCGTGCGGCTCTGAATTCTGGGGCTGCAGCGTCTTCAGGAGCACTGAACGATTTCAATTAAGATAAACATTGCCACGTAGTGGCATTTGGGTTGTCATTTTGTGGGCTTTGTTTCATAGTGCTGGTTTGGAATGACGATTGGTGGGACTTAAGTGTTTCACTAGAGAACTTCAGAAAGTTTAAAAAGTCTTGATAAAATAGGACAAAGGCTGCTTTTCTTTTCAGCTCCTCCAAGTCATTTTTTTGTTAAATTATGGTTTTATACCATGTTTCTCATGTTTAAAATAGATAATGAAATTGTCACACTGAGAGGTTGTTTTAAAAACTCATTTTCTCCATGAATAAAAACATCAACAAACAGCTAAACAGTAAAGTATGCAGTCAGCCTTGTTGATTACTGGTGCAATTCACTGGATTTGCATTGCTCTCAGTCGCCCTTATTTAATAGCTCAGAAAGCATTAAGTGGCAGTCACACTACATTTTAAGCATGCATCATTTTTTTCAGACCCCACAATAAATATAGGCAAAGATTTGATGTTTTTGCTCAGGGTTTTGAATAAGTAAGTATATGTATGCAGAGCCGCCAACATGCAGAGGTCAATCTGTGACCCTTTATTGTCAATGCTTTAATTAAGAGAAGTTATGAGGTGTATCAAATGCCATTTCTGAATGCCTCCTTTATATCTGAATTAATCCATCACATTCTTTAATCTTTACAGCTGGGACCATCTCTGGGGAAGAGATCCCCATCATGTCCAAGACCAACATCAAAGAGTACAGAGACAGTTTCTCTTGTGAGAAATTCAGTTTTCACAGCAATCCCAACATCACCTTCTATGTATACGTCAGCAACTTCTCATGGCCAATCAAAATACAGGTGAGGAAACATTTTGACTGGTTTGGCTTCTGCTTGAATGCTCCTTTGTGAAATGGAAATCCACAAAAACAAATGTTTCTAAAAAGATCCAATGCTCCTTGATATGGAAATCAATTATTCAGTTATGCACTGGGATAGGTTTGCATCTTATGGTCCATAAAATTGAATCAGCTCTTAAGTGGCAATGTGTTACGTTGCCAGATGCCTAGACGACGGACATAAAATGACATTGCTGGAGTAATGTGCAGACCGATGTTATCTATCATGGGAAAAACATTTATGTTGAACCTCCACTGGTGTACATTAGTCTTATTATGAAGGATGTTTGCAGTTTTTATTGCCTGCAATCAAACAGAAGGAGAGATATACATGCGATTGCACAGGTAGTTTGGTTTTAGAAGAAAGAAAAATATCTTGTCAAAATGAATCTTCTAGCCTCTATTTATCTGGATCCATTTAAAACTTATAGTTATCCAAATTTGGTCTTTCATGTGTTCCTTAAAATGGCGACTACACACTACCATTCAAAGGTTAGTACTTTTATTTTTAAAATAATATAATACTTTCATTTCACAAGAATGCATTAAATTGATCAAAAGTGACAGAAAAGGTATTTATAATGATTTACTTTTCTGGTAAATGCTATTCTTTTCACTTTCTATTTTTCAAAGAACAATGTGTGTGTGTGTGTGTGTGTGTGTGTGTATATATATGTATGTATGTATTGTGTATATATATATATAGCCTGGATAATAATTAAAGACATTTTTAGAATGATTTATAAAGGATCATATGATGCTGAATAGTGGAGCAATGAAAATTCCGCATTGCCATCACAGGAATTGATTGCATTTTAAAATATATTAAAATATAAAACAGTTGTTTTAAATTGTAATAATATTTCACAATAATGCTAAATTATTTGGTCAGATAAATGCAACCTTGATGAGCATAAGAGACTTTTTTCAAAAGCATAAAAAAAAATCTTATCTCCAAACATTTGAGCGGTAGTGTGGCATGAATGACCAGAATCACTGTTGCGGTTTGAGACCATTGAGACTTGAGGTTTATGTGTGTGCTAGAAGCTTTAGGAAATGTGGCGCAACAGAGTCTTATCCACCCTGACAGTCCCCTCCGTTTCTCTGTCCTCTGAACACTGCTCTGAGCGTGCCGCCCAAGGCTCGATGACATCAGCACTACATTATATGGTTGTATGGCTGGCTCTAATCAAGACCGTGCGGTAGAACATCCTCAGCTCTGTGATCAGACATAGATGTGATCTGGCACTATGAACTAGCACCTCAGCTGTGACTCTGCTTTTAACAACATATTACTCCAGTGTGAAATGTCATCACTTAGACTTGGACACCGTCACAGAGCATATGTAACCTAACCATTCCCTTTCATTGAGCTGTTCGTAGATTCTAAGGAAGTGAAGTGATTCTGAATTCTGGAGCAATATGTATGATGTAGTTGACTCTTTGGAATCAGTTATATTTTGGTTTATTTTTTATTTTTTTTATTTTACATTTTATTTTATTATTATACTATTATAGTATTCTTTATAGCTTTATTCTTTATAGCTTTTTCAGTTTTTCAGTTCATTAGTTTTTTTTTTAGTTAAAATTGTAATAATTTTAGTAGTTGTCAGTCTAGTTAGTTGTCAAGGTAACATTTTTTATTTTCTTTAAACATTTTTTAAAGCTTAAATTTTTCAGCTAATATTTATATTTTATTTAATTTCAGTTTTATTTCAATTAACAAATATTTTTTATAATAGTTTTAGTTAACAATGACAACACTGTTTGGGATTGAACAAATTGACCATTGTTAATTTATAGATTTAGATCCGAATTGTCTAATAGTGATTTGGATCCTGTCCCAACAAATTGTCCAACCAACTTTTCAAAAAAATGAATATTTACATACAAAATAATTAGAATCAGTCTGTATGTCCGTAAAGCATAACAAGTCATTGTGTATGACTTTATATAGATATAAAAATCTTTAGGAAAGGTAGTTTAGCTAAAAGAAAATTGTTTTGTAATTTGCAGATAGATAGAAAGAGCAGGCATATTAGTCTGTATGCTTATGTCACTGGTAGTTGGTGCACACTGGGTAATGTCAGCTCCCCCTGTCCCCTGATGTCTTTCCCTAAATGACTAGTCTGAAGGAAAAAGTAATAACCTTCTATATTGGTAATAAAATATATTACACAAAATATGATAAAAACTTGTAGCAGCCCTTTAGAGGGTTCGATGTTGAACAGGTTTTCTGTGCCTAGTGAAGCTATTTATTAAAAAATGCACCACAATAAAGGAAGATTTCATCTGGTCGATATCCATATGGTTTATAAAGATAACCACCACAAATCCTCTCAACCTTTCTGTCGTTCATTACCATTCGCCAGCTGTGCACCGAGACGCTCAGATAGTGCACGTCATTTGTTGTTGCGACTATCTCCAACAGCGAGAATACACCTAATATTGATCTGCATTCATTCCTCTGTTCCTCTATCACGTATGAGATGAGTTCCTCTGATAAGGTTCATTTATTTACGTTGGTCTCGCAGACCTTCATCTCAGTTGAGCTGTGTTCAAGCAGTAATAGTTTTCTATTAGATTTCCCAAAAGCAGAGTCACTTATTTACCATGGCGATGCATCATTAAATCAAATGGACCCCCGTGACACAGTGAGCTCGCTCTCCTCTGATGTTTATGATCAGAAAGTGTGATCAGCATTTATTGGCTTACTGAGGAAATTGGGACTGTGAAACTATGCACATATGAGGACCGCGGCCTCTCTGAAAGCATCAGATATTAGATAGGGAGAATTGGAAGTGCTCTCGTTGTGCACGAAACCCAATATGACAAAACATTACTGCTGTCTCACTGTCTCATGGGTCGGTGTGAGGTCAGCCAGTATGAACAAGATAAATAATCCATTTCAGGCATGTATGTGCAAGCTTTATTTTTTTTACTTTAATGCTACTATCCGTAACAAAACTGTTCAGTGAATGTAGTTAAATTCACAATAAATTAAGCCTTTTGAACCAAAAATAATTTATTTGAATGGATTTGTTGTAGTGCTGTTGTGTACATTTAAATTAACTTTGTTATGGTTACTAGATACAAATGCTAAGGTCTCAGCGAAATATGAACTTAGTTTGTCTGCATCTGCTTACACACCACTGTGCAATGTATTGGGCCACAGTTTATGCTACTCTGATTCACACTGCTTTTCAATTTATTATCCAAAAAGTAATAATAATAATACTACTTATTATTAGTATTATTACTATTATTATTTTTCAATGTATATTAAATATGAATGTACTGTATTTTATATAAAAATATAAAACAATTTATATACAATTTACAGTGGTGGCCAAAATGATTAGAACACTAGTATTTTCACCAGCTAAAAATGGTTTTAAGTCAGTTATTTCTATCTTTTGCTGTATTGTGTCAGTAGGAAATATCAGTTTACATTTCCAAACATAAATTTTGCCATTAATTGTAATAATCCAGTGAGATTTTTGTTTGCACAAGGAGTCTGACAACAGCCAGAGATCTGATCTCATCATCATCATCCAGTCTGTCTGGAATGACATGAAGAAAAGAACAAACTGAGACAGACTAAATCCAGAAGAACTGTGGCAATGTCTCCAAGATGCTTTATTATGTAATATATATATATTCGTTATCATTATTATTATCACCATCATCATCATCATAGAAGACTTTAGGTTTGGACACAAATTTTGCAATTAAGGTACAACGCAGAGCTGCTTGATACTCTCACAGTAGTTTCCTCTCTCCACTTTATATTTGTGTCTCATTAGGAAAATTTTCCTGACAGTCCTCTCCAGATATCAGATGCTTTGTTAGTGGTTTTTCAGTCTACAGGATGATGAGCAATTCCAACAGATTTATACAATGATCTAATGAATGATAATTAAAGGAGACATATTATGCCCCTTTTTACAATATGTAATATAACCCTCTGGTGTCCCCAGAATGTGTCTGTGAAGTTTCAGCTCAAAATACTCCACAGATAATTTATTATATCATTTAGAAAATGCCTATTTTGAGTGGAAGCAGAAACACGCTGTTTTTCTGGCCTGTCTCTTTACAGTGCCTTGCTTCATACCCCTTCATTTTTTTCACGTTTTGTTATGTTGCTACCTTATGTTAAACTGCTTTAAATTACTTTTTTCCCCCCACATCAATCTACACACCATACTGACAAAGCAAAAACAGAATTGTCACAACTTCGTAAATTTATTAAGAATAAAAAAACTGAAATAAGTACATTGCACAAGTATTCATACCCGTGTTTAGGTTCATTGTCCTGTTGGAAGGTGAACCTTCTGCCCAGTCTGAGTTTCTGAATGCTCTGGACAAGGCTTTTATTAAGGCTATCTCAATATTTTGGTGCATTGAACTTTTCTTCTACTCTGACAAGTCCCTCAGTTCCTGCCACTGAAAAACAACCCCACAGCATGAGGCTGCTGCCAGGACACTTTACTTTTGGGATGGTACCTTAATTCCAAGCATTATGTTTGAAGGAAACCAGCTCTGGTTTCCTTCAAACATAATGCTTGGAATTGAGGTTTATCAGACTAGATAATATTGTTTCTCACAGTCTGAGGGTCCTTTAGGGCAGCAGCAATATACAGTAAATAACTCCATAAATCCACTGCTCTCTTGTCTCCTCTGAGGCTGGGACTCTAAACAGTGTTCTGTGCTTGTCTGTGGAGCCAAAGACAGAACAGTTAGGAAGTTTTGCTCAAACTTTCGCCATGGCATTAGAACTGGTACACCGTTGTCGCCTGCGAAAACACAATAACGGCGCCGTGGGTGGAAACTTACAGATTAAGGGGCGGTAATATTATAATGAGATCCCT